TCTCTCACACACACACACACACACACACACACACACACACACACACACACAGCGAGCTTCCAGGTCACACAGACATCACCCTATGTGTTGCATTCGCAATTTTGCATTTTTGCATTTGTTGAGTTTACTGACACAATCGCAGGTTTTCCATTTGTGCCTTGGAACTAATTCCGTCCTCCTCCTGACTCTTCTCATTCCTTTTCCATATTGTAGGGCTGTACCACTGACAGGTGTATTTCAGTACGCGTCAGGCTGCGCACGAGCCTTATTGACAGCTTGACGAGCGTGCCTGCAACAGCAGCTGATCCAAGCACAATGGCGCGGAAATCGCGTGCCTCCATTTGACTCTACTGAGTCTACTCTGCTTCTCTGCAGTAGCTTAACAGTAAGTTCTAAGTTATTTAGCTAAATTTCCTTCTCGGCAACCATGACATGTCAATGACAACAATCAACCTTTTTTCTTTTTCTCTGTTTTTTTTTTTTTTGGCCTTCCGTTTGCTGTACGGCAGTGTACGTTACGTTGTGGAGCTTAATTGTTTTCAGCATACTAAGCATAGCGAGTGCCATAAATTTTCCATGTCGTAAATAATATGGTAAATACTAAATACTAAATAATCCGTAAATTCGGTTGTGTTGATTGAAATTTTGAAATTAATTTCCAATTTTCTATTGCATTAATTTCCGGGAACGTAACCATGCTTCATATTTCTGGCATTGGCATGCAAACAAGGTTTGTTTTATTGACCTGTCTCGGACTGTCGATCAAATTTTCTGACATCGCTTAAAAAAAAAAAAAAAAAAAAACTTGAACTTCCTGCATCTAGTTTTAACTTCTAAACCGTTTTATATTATTTTTTATTTTTTTGAATTTAATACTTATAGTGAAATCTTGAATTCCTACAAAATTTATAGTTTTAACTGTTTTATGAAAAAAAAATTATCGATTGTCATGCCCACGGAAACGCCTAAGCGGGAATTTTTTGAAATGTTGCTTTCATAAAGTTATTAGTTGACGTCGTCACCAACTTCCCTATGTAAGTCCCCTTTCAAAACTCAAAAGGGAAAAGAAAAGGATTGCAATACCCCGCCTGATATGCCCTGAAGTGGCCCTCAGGCCACACGCAGCCCGCGACCCCGGTCTGAGGCCGCAAAGGCGAGGGGGAAAAATTCCCTTGTTGACCCAGAGCCTGGGCGCCTGACAGTTGACTTTGGTCAACTGCCCAGCGGGCCAAGAGTCAAAGTCTGTATGTACCCAGCCCAGGCCGCCGGTCAGACACGCACTAGTTTGTATGCAGGTACCAAGACAGCATCAGGACCAAGTGAAAGTCTGCAACTCTACGCAATCCAGGCCCTCGGCTGTGAGTCAATCTGGGCCACCGTGGGTGGGAGACCTGAGGCAGGTCAACTCGGTCAATCACTACATAAGACCCTGCCTCCAGGGGGTCAACATTCAGTCTTGCTATGCTGCATTGACGCTGGCTTGATGCTAGCTGGATGCTGGCTTGACGCTGGCTGTGTGCTGGCACTGTGGACGACGACGCGGGACTGAGGCAGCATGCTGGTGCCTTCTCTGCTGAGCGCCAGCCTCTGCTGATGTGGCGCATCGCACCTGTCTTTATCGCTGATGTGACATTGCCCACGCTGTCTACATTGGGTGACTGGATGAGACAAGGAGGGAGATCGGGATCTGTGGATGATTGAGGAGGATCGGGATACTTACCTGAGGTTGATGTCGATACTGTGCGCTGTTGATTCTCTCCAACGTCTTCTCGAGAGAACTGTGCCACGTGGCACTTCGATGTGATCAGGATTTGTCAGGCTCGTTACTGGATACTGTTGCTGACGTGGAGGCGAGGGAAGCCCGAAGGAGTGGGGAATGTTGGGCTACTCTCTGTGTGTGGTCATTGGTGATTACTTTCTCTTCCACCTTCTACTCTGTCTATTCCCCCTCCATTCTCTTCGTCTACTGGAAACGAGACATTGTATCAGAGATCACATTCATGATTATTGCGGACATTGTTCAGAGTTGAGTTACTTTGTATTTCGGCATCTGGCGAGTATCTTACAGACTGGGTTCATTACAAGGATAGAAAAAAAGAGGGAAAAAGAAACAGCACCTCCTCCTATTTATAGACTCCTGGAGTGAAGAAGGAATCACCTACCTTACCTTGCCGAACGCCGCCCTTTTTTTCCTTTCTTTTGTGGCTGAAACTCCTCTGAAATACAGAGAGGGCACTCAAACTTGAGGCTGAGAAGTTGGGCCCTACAAGCAGTCCTTTTTCTTTTTCTCCTTCTTTTCTTCTCTCTTTTTTTTTTTTGTTCTCTTTTCTTTTTCTTTTCCTTACCTGGAAAAGGAGGGCAATCAGCAAGGGCACCAGGTATAGGCCCCCAAGTTTCCTTTTCTTTTCTTTTTGTTTTTTTTTCGTACCTGCTGCCCTTGCTACCCTTGGGCGACTGTACTTTAGCCATTTGGGCGACGGTTCTTTAGCTATTTGGGCGACTGTGCTAAAGAAGGAAAGACGCGGACAATTCTAAGATTACCATCTGGAAAAGTATGTCTTATATATCAAAATTTCAGAAATGTTTAGCTACCATCGGACAAGTAGGAAATCCAGAATTTCACAGGTTGTTGAATACCACAGCTACCCGGTCCATGTGGCTGCATGATAGGTGCACTGCCCACATTTCACCCCCTCCCCAATCTCCAAGGCTCGCTCAGAGTCAGAACCGGTTACGCTCGACATGGTCCTACTCATGAACCGGTTACGCTCGACATGGTCCTACTCAGGAACCAGTTACGCTCGACATGGTCCTACTCAGGAACCGGTTACGCTCGACATGGTCCTACTCAGGAACCAGTTACGCTCGACATGGTCCTACAGACTCCTACTTAG